CTGGGCAAAAGCCGGGGGGGGCTTTAACAAAAGCCGGGCGGCTTTCGTAGTCTGCAACTACGAACAGCTCCTTTGGAGTGGCGGTTTCCGGCGATTTTGACTCCTATCGATTTGCCAACCCTTCTAAGTTAATTACCACCACTTTATATCAATATTCTACACTTTTAAACGTGTAGAACTCATGGTTTAATCCACCATATGATTTCTTAAATATCATATACAATAAAACTAGTTAAGGAATGTTTGTTGAGTTCTTACCTCAAACACTATCCTTTTCTCCTTGGATCTCCTCTCCTTTTGCTTTGTTCAAGCTTGAGCTTGTGACAGGTCTTTCCTAGAGCTCCTCTTGCCCCTTGGCTGTTCGTATGGTGTCAAATGGAAGGGGAGAGGTATCTATCCTCAATCAAGACCAAAATAATGCAAAGCTATGGCCAAGGGAGTGGTTGGTTGTCTAGAGCCATCCTTTCACACAAAAGTCCACCCAAGCCATCTCTATTTGTCTCCAAATCATTATTTTGAGACCTCAAGTCATGTAGGAAATCCCCAAGTGGGTGTATGAAGTCCCTCACAATTATTCCTGCTAATTCTGGCATGTTGGGTCAAAATAGCACTTGGGTTGTCCAAATATTTTCCCCAACCTCGGTTGGCATTTTATTGGGCTTATGTACTTATTGCGATGACCCAACTAAATATTTGGTAGTCCATTCTCAACATAATGGACCCGATGAATAATTTAATTAATCGCACATTAATTAAATACACCATTCTTTTACACGAAATTATTCGCTTGAAAATTCAATTACATACTGAATATTAATTTCAAGTACACCCGGGTGCGGTGTCACATAAACAACACTAAATCGTTGCTCAACTCCTCTCTCATCTTCGTTTCAAACTCTATTAACACATGCATATTTTGATGCAGCCTCATGCATACTACGTGAGGGAGCACATAGACTAGTTTTACTATATCTACAAGTTGTTGAGATCTTGTTAAAAAGTTGTTACGTAGATATTTTCTATCTTGTTATAAATACTCTTGTAACTAGCTAGCTGAAGTCAATGGAAAAGTTTATCTTCTTCATTTTCATTTCCTCTCTCTCGCTTATCATTTGTTGATATGCTAATATGGTCTCAGATGAATAATCTCCATTCCTGTGCCATACTCTGTAAATCAAAGCTTCAATCATGGTGGTTACTCGATCTAACACGGAAAACTCTGAATCCACTTCGGATCATCTCATCAATCCATCCAATCCTCTCTTCCTTCACCCTAATGAGAATCCAACACTCGTCCTCATTCCGGTTCTACTCAATGAGAAAAACTTTCATTCATGGCGGCATCAAATGTTTGCTATGTTAGAATCCAAAAACAAGGATAAGTTCGTTGATGGTTCATTTCCTTCACCATCTGTGAACAATCCTTTACATGAACCTTGGCTAATGCGATCTATGACTCCAACAATTGCAGAATCAGTTGTATATTTTGACACAACTGCAGAAATTTGGACTAATCTCTTTGAACAATTCTCTCATGGTGATATGTTTCGCATAGCTGATCTGCTTGATGAAATTCAAAAAATCCATCAAGGTTCTTCATCTGTTACTCAATACTTCACAAAATTACAAACATTATGGAAAGAATTGAGTCAATTTCGAACAATTCTAATCTGTAAATGTTCAACACATTGTTCATGTGGAGTTCTTAAGAAAATCATTAAAGAAAGAGAAGATGAAAACATTATCAAGTTCTTGCGTGGTTTAAATGATGAATTTGCTCAAGCTAGATCTCAGATTATGCTGCTCCATCCTATGCCTGCAATGACCAAAGTGTTTTCACTAATCTTACAACAAGAAAGAGAGTTTGGATCTTCTATTTCTTTCACCACCAACAACATCACTTCATGCAATGCTATAACTCAAAACCAGCCTAAAAACTATCAATCAAACAAAGGAAACTATTCTACTTTTCGTGACAATCCTTCAAACAATCGTGGTGGTGGAAGAAATTCTTCCACAGGAAGAGGCAGAGGAAATCGATTTTGTGATCAATGTGGAAGAACTAATCATACGAGAGACACATGTTTTCAAATCTATGGATATCCTCCTGGATATAAGTCCAAATACACAACCACTTCCAACACATCATCTCCTAACCTTGCTTCTATTGATCCAAATGACAGCTCACATTCACAATGCTCTTCAGTTAATCTACCTCAAGACCAGTTCACTTTATCTAAGGAGCAATATCAGGGAATCATGGCTCTTCCTCAACAAAGTGACTTGCATGCTACTTCTCATTCTGTTAATCAAACAAACACCAGTCCCTTGATTCTATTAACTGAACTGAATTGGAAACTGAATATTCTTGTATATTAATCAAAGGAAGGGTTACACTTATATAGGAAATCCTGACATCTAACTAGTACATCTAGTACATGTAGTACAACTAGTACATGTAGTACAACTAACCTAACATCTAACTAGTACAACATGTACTACAATAGGAATAGTGCAAAAGTACATGTACTACAATAGGAATAGTGCAAGAGATAGTATTCTTCACACCCCCTTCAAACTCAAGATGGGGCAGCATAGACCATCGAGAGTTTGCCAAGGAGTAAGCGAAAGCGGGCTGCAGTGTGAGTCTTGGTGAAGAAATCAGCCAACTGTAGTGTGGAGCAAACAAACGGCAAGGAAATCGTAGCCGACTGAAGGTGTTGACGATTAAAATGGCAGTCGATTTCAATGTGCTTTGTACGTTCATGGAAAACAGAGTTATGAGCAATCTGAATAGCGCTCTTATTGTCACAATACAGAGGCATAGGAGAAATGATAAAGACACCCATATCCGAGAGAAGCCAACAAAGCCAAACGACTTCTGAGGTAGCATGTGCCATGGCACGGTATTCAGCTTCGGTAGTAGATCGAGCAACAACCGATTGTTTCTTACTTTTCCAAGAGATAAGAGAATCACCCAGAAAAACACAAAGGCCAGAGGTGGATTTGCGGTCACTAATATCACCAGCCTAATCAACATGAGCATAAGCTTGGAGTGTCGAACTGGAGGTGGAAGATAATAGAATGCACTGGTGAATAGTACCACGAATATAACGGAGAATACGTAAGAGGGCAGCCCAATGCATAGAGCGAGGAGCAGAAACATATTGGCTGATAATATGAACCGCATGAGAGATATCCGGTCGAGTCACAGTAAGATAAACCAAGCATCCTACTAACTCATGGTATTCAGTAGGATCTTCAAGAGGAACACCATCAGAGGCAAAGAACTTGGCATGAAGCTCAAGAGGAGTGTCAACAATCTTGTGATCCGTGAGACGAACGCGATGAAGAATGTCCCAGAAGAAACCCCTTAGGAGAAGAAGCAACTTCAATACCAAGAAAATACCGAAGAGGGCCCAAGTCTTTTCATCTCAAATGCACGAAACAAATGGATTTTCATGTCAGTGATAGAAGCAGATTCGGAACCAGTGATAATCATGTCATCCACATATAATAGGAGAAGAACTAGACCATGAGAGGTGTGCCGAATAAAGAGAGTTGAGTCGTGCATACTTGGTTTGAAACCAATGTCAAGAACCACATCCTGAAAGCGAGCATACCAAGCTCAAGGGGACTGTTTCAAACCATAAAGAGCACGACGTAAGTGGCAAACATAACCAGATGAATGAGAGACACTCAGGGGAAGTCGCATATAAACTTCCTCATTAAGAAAGCCATTAAGGAATGCATTCTTGACATCAAGTTGATAAAGAGGCCACTGATGCACAGCAGCAACAGAGATCAATGTGCGAACAATGGTCATTTTCACAACAGGAGCAAAGGTTTCTTTATAATCAATACCATATTCCTGAGAAAAGCCTTTAGCAACTAACCGGGCCTTGTACCGTTCCAAGGATCCATCAGAATGAGTTTTGACCTTGTAAACCCATTTGCAGCCAATAAGATTCTTACCTGCCGGGAGTGGAACCAATTCCCAAGTATTATTCTGAGCAAGAGCATTAAGTTTGACATTCATGGCTTCAACCCAGTTGGGATCATGACAAGCTTCTGATGGAGTATATGGCCCGGGAACACCCGGGCCATAGACTCCTACTACTCCAGTGGAGGCCCAACAGGCCCAGAAGGCCCAACAGGCCCAAATCACGGCGCCCAGAGTACCAAGCAGCCCGCAATACGCACCAGGGGTGCCTTCGGCCCCCTGGCCGAAGGCTCCAAACTCTCACAGAACGGATATTTCGAACAAACAGAGGGACTGGGAGAAAACGGCGAAAACAGTAGCCCTCGGCACCTGGAGCCCTCGGCACTCAGGGGTCCTCGGCACTAAGGGCCCTCAGCTAGTCCTATGCAGCCGAGGGCACCTCTCCCGACATGATATCCGCCTCACATGCGTACAGATCGCCGTACCCTGTACAGACATCCCATCCAACAGCCGCATTAAATGCGGCCACATGCGGCTGCCAACGCCAACCAGTTGAGGTGACCTCTCGGCCAATAGGCGCTTGACACGTGTCCCTGTACAGCATTTATTGCTACTATAAATAGCACCCCATTTCCCCATTTGTAACCACGCTGAAAACGCTCCACATTTATAATACACTCTCTCTCTACATTTACTTGCTCTGACTTCTCTCTGAGTTATTCCCAGCAATAACCCTTCGGATATATACCCCCGGGTAGACTATCCATCAGCTTCTTTATAAGATTTGGGCTCAAAATAAGTGTGAATTCGAGAAAGAAAAGACTGATAAGAGGATGAGAAACAAGTATGAGAGAAACCCAATTTTACCGGTGGATGACGATTCTCACGGCATGAAAATTTTGAAAGATATGGAAAAAATCAGACTTGCGGGTCATCAAATAAACCCATGTATAACGAGTGTAATCATCAACAAACAAGACATAATAAACTGAACCACCCTTTTTAGTTACTGGGGATGGACCCCACAAATCTGTATGGACAAGAGCAAACATAGATGAAGAAATGGAAGCGCTTTTACTAAAAAGTAATGCAGACATCTTGGCAAGTTTACAACCACTACATTCTGAAATGTCACCAATAGAAAGGTTACCCAAATGACCTGATTGAGCTAAAATCTTAAGACGATCACTAGACAAATGTCCTAATCGAGAATGCCAAAGATAAAAAGGGGAAGATGTGTGGTCTAAACGAAAAGACGAAGCAGCAACAGGGGAAGACTTCAGTGGGAGGTGCAAGGATTCCAGGATATAGAGGTCACTAACTCTACAGCCAGTCCCAATCTGCTTCTTGGATTCCCGATCCTGCACAACACAACCAGAGGAAGAGAATATAACATCAAAACCAGAATCAGATAGTTGCCTATGGACAAAAGACTAAGTGTTAACTGAGGGACATAAAAGACTTCAGGAACAGATAATGAACTAGAGCAAATGGAACCAATGAAGACAACATGCATGGGTGATCCATTTGCTGAGGCAATACTAATAGGGGAGAGAGGAGAGACACAATTGCGAAGAAGCGAGGAATCAGGGGTCATATGATGAGAACAACCGGAATCTAATATCCAAGTGATTGGTAATATACCTGTGACATTGGAGCCATGCAAACCTGAGTGAATAGAGGACATGGCAGAAGCTTGGGAAGATCCTTCCTGAATAGCTTCCATGAAAGCCTTATACTGCTGAAATTGCTCTAGCATATGAGAAGAAGGTATGGCTTCAGAGGTGGGTGCTGCCACGGCTGCAGAAGGGCAATAGTGCGGTTGAGATGCCCTGGGAACAGAGGAGCCACCAGTATGAGAATTATGTCGACTCTGAGTTTGCTGAACACGCTTAGGGCATGCGTGTTTCCAATGACCTTTCTGATGACAATAACCGCACTCGTCAACAGGAATGTGAGGTCGGCCTGAAACTTGAGTCTGATGGGATGCTGGAATGGGCAAGAGGGGTGCCAAATGTTGTACTGGCGGAGAAGATCGAGTGACAAAAACAGATTGTGACGAAGGAGATAGATTCGCCACTTTGAACTGTGTCTCCTCAGCTATGAGCTCATGAACAGCCCCATCAACTGAGGGCAACGGAGATCGATGCAGAATAGCCCCACGTAGAGGCTCAAACTGAGACCGAAGAGCCATGAGAAACTAAACAAAACGTTTTTTCTCACGATACTTCACATAACTATCAAGTAGTTGCAGATCAGATGGTTCCATAAGAGCTAACTGATCCCAAAAACCAGTCATATCATTATAGAACTCTTGAATAGCTTTATCACCTTGACTAGCATTACGGATTGATAACTCAAGTTTATACTCTTTTGTGAAATTGGACTCAAAATACATATTTTTCAAATACTCCCAAACATCCTTAGCAGTTTCATACTTTGAGAAATTCATACCAATACTTGATTCTGAAGAATTGTGAAACCAAGTCAAGATTTTTCCGTTTTCTCGCTCCCATTTCGCAAAATCAGTGGCATAAGTCTTTGACTCTTTATGAGATGGTGTTACAATTGAGCCAGTAACATGTCCCCATAAGCCTTGACCAGTTATAAAATTCTTCATGACCTTAGACCAATCATAATAATTGGCCCCATTCAAGCGGACACTAATACTTGAAATTTTATCTTCCGATATGATATGAAAAAGTACTCACAGATAGAAGCAAAGGTTCAGGAACAAAGTTACCGGCACAACGAGGTATTGAGGGAGCAGATTGAAACAAAATGTTTGTTGAAACTGATGAACAGTACTGAATAGTGACTGACGAACAGTAACCGAGTGCTGGAAGTGGCTGACGGTGCTCCGGCGAGGGGCGTCGGAGGTCGGAGGAAGGTTGGGATTGACAAGCTAGTCCTGACAGGTGATCGGCAGAATAAGGGAGAATCAGGATGCAGAAATGGGTTTTCAGATTTTGACAGAGAGAGCTGACTGAAGAGAGAACTGAAGTTGGTTCCCAGCACACATAAGATTTCGGATGCTGATTCTGAGCAAAGGCTAGAGAGGTGACTGAAGATAAACAGAGAATATCAGTTGTGATACCATGTTAACTGAACTGAATTGGAAACTGAATATTCTTGTATATTAATCAAAGGAAGGATTACACTCATATAGGAAATCCTAACATCTAACTAGTACATCTAGTACATGTAGTACAACTAGTACATGTAGTACAACTAACCTAACATCTAACTAGTACAACTAGTACAACATGTACTATGTTAGAATATTATTTTACTGTGTTCAAATTAATTGTAATTTAATTAATGAGTCTTTGTATTTAATTAGATTAGCTGAGAGAGAATTAGGCCTGATTTAATTGCTCTACATAGCCCACACGCACGGCCCATATTGTTTCCTAATTGTATTAGGCAGTTCGGATATCTCTCCTATAAATATAGGTTGAGATGGCCGAATCTGCTCTACAAGTCTCTACACATTCTATTCTGAATATTATTCTCTGTAGATCCAGTAGATTAGAATTCTCTCTCTAGCCTGTTCGAGTACCATGTATTATTCTTCATCGAATCATCATTATGAATACACAGTATAAGTTGATGTTGAATTTCTCTTCTACTGTTTAAATTCTTATCAATATTCTTAGATTATTTGACTGTTGTATCTGGGCATATCTCACAAAATTGGTATCAGAGCCTCTGCGCAATTCTGTTCATCTGATTCCTTGAATTTTTCTGGAACTAATTTGATCAAAATCACAATTTTTGGTTGAATTAATCTCTAGATCTGTTCTTGGAAACTTACTGTTTTAGAAGGTTTCTACTACAAGGAAAGCTATGGAAGAAGAATCCCAGTACAAATTGAGTTACCAAATTTTCGGTCATCCGAGATCTTCCAACTATTCGCTGATCCGAGATCCTTCATAAGCATCCGAGTTTCCAATTTCGGAAACCCGAAATCAGCACTTCCGAATTTGTAATTTCGGACCCCCGAACTCTAATCATCCGAAATCAGGTTTCCTTTTTTAAGATTTCGGACATCATCCAAGATCACAATTTTGGACATCCAAAATCAGCCTATCCGAAATTCTAAACAACCGAAATACATTCATCCGAGTTTCTAATTTTTGACGCACCCGAAATCTTCTTCCGAAATAAGGATCCGAAATCCTTTTAAAGCAGTACCGAAATCTTACTTCTTTTGAACAGTTCTCGCCTTAAGATCAAACAACAGTCATGGAAGCTTACACACTTGGAAGTGATTCAAGACCTCCTCTGCTTAGGAGAGGAGAATTTGCTGTCTGGAAAGTCTGTTTCCTCAATTTCATTCGAAGCCGAGACAACGGAAAGAATATTCTTGACTCTCTTAATAAAGGACCACTCGAAGTTTGGGTTGATGTTCCAGCTATCGACACAAATAATCCTCCCACACCAGCAGGTAAAGCACTGAAATCTGAAGATGATTACACTGAACTCGAGAAGCTGAGAGCAAAGGCTGATCTACTTGCTGCCACTTACCTGTTACAAGCCATTCCCAATGACTTGTTTATGCAAATTGATAGCCTTACCACTGCTAAGGATTTGTGGGATGAAATTCATCAAATCATGCAAGGCACTGATGTTGGAATTAAGTCCAAACGAGCGCACACCCTGACCACTTATGACTCCTTTGCTGCCAGACCTGATGAAGAGCTGGAGGACACCTATCAACGGTTTCTCATGGTCCTTAACGAGATGAAGAAAATCAATATCCGCCAAACCAATATGGAAGTTAACCTTCGCTTCCTGAGGTCTCTGAAGCCCGAATGGAAGAAAACAGCCAAACGAATCAGACAAAACAAAGACCTAGATGAGTTGACCATCCATAACCTCTATGACTGCCTAGGTGAATTCTCTGAGGATATTCGTGAAAAAGTCAATTCTTCAAAAGGTAAGAACATTGTTGACACACTTTCTTTCCTTACATCTGAGAAAAAGAAGAAAGATAAGGCCCCTAAAATTACATTAGAAGATGACTCATCCGATGAAGAGAAGAATATGTCTGATTCTGACCCGGAGATTAATGATCTAAAGAAAGAGTTGGCTTTGCTAATAAACATGACGAGGAAAATAAACAAGAAGTTCACAAAATTCAGAAATCCTGCAACAAACAACAAACAAAGAACTTCTTCCTCAAACTACTCTGAAAGAGTCAGCAGACCATCTGATAAGGCTGTCAGCAGTGACTCAATGAAGTGTTTCAAATGTGGAAAGCCAGGACACTTTGCTAAAGAATGTCGATCTGCCAAGAAGAAAAACTTCAATTACTATATGCAGAAGGCTCAACTTGCTAAACAAAAGGAGCAAGGAGTTGTCCTGATGGCTGAACATGATAGCTGGCTCGAAGATTCTGAAGATAGTGAGCCAGAAAATTTGGCACTGATGGCAAGGGTAACTGAATCTGGAACTGAAAGTGATGACTCTAAAGAAGAAGACAATGGTTCTACATCTGCTGAGAATGAGGTAAGTAACTTAAAATCATTAATTTCTCAACAAAATGACAAGATGAAAGAGTTAATCACTTCTCTTAAAAGAGAGAAAAACAAAATAAAGGAACTTGAAGACAGACTTGCTAATAATCAAAAAGTTCTGGAAAAACAAGTGTTGGAAGGAGCATCTGAAACTGCACGCTTAAAAGATTCACGTGATAGAGTGTCTCAATTAGAATCAGAAGTAACTAAGCTTAAGCAAACTATTAGTGACTTAACTAAGGAACGTGATGAGAATAAATGACAACGTTCTGAAGCTGTTAATTCGCTATGATCTGATTAACAAAGAACGAGGTCAACTTTACTCTAAGATAAAGGAGTTAGAGGATATCTTAGCCAAAAATGGTCAAACCGAACATACAATTCATCTTTTGAATAGTAAAATCAAGGATACTCAGTTTTACAACCCTAGAGAAGGATTAGGCTTTCGAAATCCTGAAAATTTGAAAAAGGTCGATTGCATTCAGCTTTACGACATAAGATACATGAAATTAGGGTTAACCAAACTCATGAAATTCACTAGTTCTTTTGAAACTATTGAGGGAGAAGAGGAGAAAAGGAAAAATAGGGCTAAAGCTGAGATTAGTTTTGATTATACTGCTCTCAATAACAGCTATGCCACTAGAGAAATTCCTTTGTAAAATGACTATCTTACCCATTCTCCTCCTGAGAATCATAACATGTCCAGTGAGGAAGAAGCCTCAACCTCAAAAGTTTATGAACCCTACGTTCCTCCTCTAATTAAGAAATTAGCTGACCTTCACTCATCTTTTGAAGAGGAACGTGAAAAATTTAAACTTGAAAAGGAAAATCTTTTAAAGAAAATTTCTGAATTGTCTGATGGATCATCTCAAAGCTCAAAATCTTCTATGACATCCTTTTCTTATGATTATGCAAAGAAAAACAATTTTGAAAAGAAAAGGAACTTATTTTCTGCTCCACAAACAGGAAAAGTTTTCTCAAAATCCAATGCAGGAAGGATGACCTGGATTCCAAAGAAGAAGTCAAGCGATGATACAAGACCTGAGCATACAAAGAAGATTTCTGCTATCTTTAATTTCATGGAAAAGTCTTGTAATAGATTTAGAAATTGTTTTCGTTCTCATTCTCCATCTAGTTCCATTATTTCTGCTTCTTTTAGTTCTCCAAAGCTTTCATCTTCTCACTCTAGCTCTGTGAATTCTACTTCAAGTGACTGTTTTAAGCATGATCAATTTAATCCTTCTCCTTTTTCAAAACATGATGTGTGTGATGTGAATGCTAATAATGATTGTGTTACTTTCTCTTCTGTGAATGGTAAATGTCTGAATTATCCTCTCA